CCAAAAACCAGTCAATAAAAAGGTTTATTTCAGTCTCTAAATTGTCCTGGAGCCTTTGCTCTGCATCTCTGTAAGCGAAGATGCCAGAATTATTTAAAAGAAGTGAGCAAGCCGGGAAACAAATTGAAACTTTGACCTACTCGGGCTTCCATTTATCATGGGTGCCCATAAGAGGAGGACTGCGAAGAAGGATTTAAGATAGAGAATCAGCGCCTGCTCTATTAATCTAGTTTAACTGATACTAAAATCTGACAGAGCAAATTACAAGTTGCAGGCAGTAAGCCTTATCAATTCATTACTACTTCCAAGGCTCTCTTTCTCTTTGCTTTCAGCTGCTGGCAAAGGATAGGCTTTTTACAGTTCAATTTTTCAGTTTATTTTTGACTGCTTTTAATTAAATTTGATGGCCTGCTTCTGCACTAGTGAAGTTATTGGAGTTGCAAAGCACTTTGCTGTTATACTGATGGCTCCCTTGATGCGGGCCCATTATTAACTGCTTTTTTAAAAGTGCTTCTTTCTACTCTCATTTTATAAATATTTAAATAACTGTGACTTTCTATAACATAAATATCTGGACTCTAGAGATAGCCTGCTTTACATAGTCACTGGATTTTTTTTTAAAAAAAAATTATACAGATATTAATTGGGAAAACATTACCCCCAAATCACGGTACTTATGTCAGCACAAATTGTAGTGATATTTCAAAGTTGCAGTAATCAATGAATTAGTCAGTAGTTTATGACCTATTGCATTCTGCAAGTTAATTTTCCCCACATATGTTAATTAGATCAACAGAAAGATAGGAAGCAATAATCATAGACAACTGTCATGATAAGAGATTGAGATAATATTACAAATTAACCTGCTATGACCAAACTTTTTTGCTTATAAATCACCCCAGGTTATTGCAAAAACAGGAACAATTTACACAACTACTGATTAAGTTTTGGGCCCAAGACATGGACAACTGAAGTGATGAATCTGTGATCTAACTGCTCGACCAGAGGCCTATTGCTGTCATAAATGAACTCGTTTATGCTGGTCCAAATCATAGTACCATGAATGGCAAATAAACCATTTGAGTATTACTGTTACTTGGTTTACAGAAGCCAAAGGGAAAAAAATTATATGATTTTACAGCTAAATAGCAAACCTGACTATGTTGATGTAATGGGACCAAAAGAAACTGAACCCTCCCACTACTTATTTATTTTCCTTAAGCCCTCTACTTGTGGCTCACTTACCTCATGAGAGAAAATATATTTAAAAATATGTACTCCATTTGAAAAAACCCCACAAATGAATTCAAGAAATAGAATAAGTTTATGAGTGGACACATCTGATAGTGACATCTGTACAGATTCAACACTGGGTTTGAGGACTCTTTCAAACAAATGCTTAAATGTTGATGTATAAGTCAAGATAATTACATCACCGGATGGCTGCAGTTAGAACTAAATAAAATATTTTCAAATAAATGGCTGGTTACAAACAATTGATTTCTCTATCTGGTCAAGCAAATATGGGCAGAAATATGTTTCATGCCTTTTCATATTTTAAACTTTTTTCTTCTGTGACCACAGCTATGAAAGGTTAATTATTTAATATATTTCAACTACCTTTCTGCTAACCCCATAGTTTAATAATCATTCTGGGTAGTATATTTCCATAAGGAGATTGGGTTTCATTTTTCATAACAGGACTTTTTCTACCCTCCCCTATTCACCACTAATGTCTACTCTGGGGGTATCCCATAGCATATTGGGGTATATTTTCATATTTTAGGAGCTGCAGCAGGAAAGATAGTGGATAGGTGCAACTGGATGTCACCCAGAACAACTGCTAAACTGTGTGGTTAGCAAAAGGATAGTTGAAGGATAGAGATGGCTTAAATAATGAACATTTTTTCACCAACGTAACAGAATACAACTCAGCTATGAATTCACACTAAGTTAATTTCATGGTCTCCATTAATCTCCCTACCAATGCCTAGGCTGCCTTTATCTATTCCCTGCCTCTTCTTTCAAACCACAGTGAAATTAGAATGCTTGGGATCCTACGTTCTCTGTTCTTGTACAGGCATGCCTATTCTCATGGTTGTGTGTGTATATTTGTAACATCATGCCTTTTTGTACTATTAATAAGCAGTTCTGTTCAATAACGTAAGCCTAGGGATGGTAAGTGGACACCACAGACACAGGATGTCGTCAATAACTAAAATACAGTGGTACCTCGGTTTTCTAACGTTTCTGTTGATGAATATTTCGGTTTACGAATGCCGTAAACCCGGAAAGAAATGCTTCGGTTTTTGAAAACGCCTCGGAAGTCTAACATGCCATGCAGCTTCCTCTGAGTGCAAGATCCTGAGGCCTAGCTGTCAGTTGTTGAGTCCTCAGTTTTTGAATGTTTCAGAACCCGAATGGTCTTCCGGAATGTATTATGTTTGAAACTGAGGTACCACTGTACTGAAGAGATGCATACTGATGATTCCTTAACCACACCACTTCACCCAACACTGTACCTGAGCAACTCAGAACTAGCATTGACATGGTTCCATTATTACCTCCAGCCAAACCCACTAAAAATAAAAATTATATAAGGAAACAGACAAAAAATAGACTAATTTTTCACCCTGTTAAAATGTTATTTGCCACATTTACTGCACAGCTTAAATGTGCAGGTAGGTATTAATCTACCAAAGTGTTCATTAAGGTACTTGATCTAATTTTTAAAATTAGGAGCTTTTCATTTTATTGCCCATGAATTACTGCTTTAAATAAGAATAAAACAAACATTTATAAGCAAGTATGATATCTAAAGGCATGAATGCAGCATTCTGGACATATATTCTAATTAAGGACAAGTGTAGCAGAATAGGACCAACTTCTTCAAGAGCATCTGAAAGACATAGCTTAGAGTAAATCACATTCACTGCAAAGCTCATATTATACGTTTTGTGATTTTACCTCACAGGTCCAAGAGAACTATAAAGATGATAAGGTACAGGGTTGAAAACTGCTGGCTCTTATTTTAGAATCCAGACTTCTCAAGTTAATTTGGCACAGGCATAAACCTAGATTTGTTTACTTCAGCACATTTATATAGAGACCATAAAGTTTTAGGGGTTTTTTTGTTTTTGTTTTAAAAATAAACCAATGAATAAATATTTCTGATTAAACATACACCACAATCACTAGATAAATAGGACTCCAGAGCAGCGACAGAAAAACACACACATGTAAACATTAAATATTGTTTGCTGCAGACAGCTGTGTGCTTACTGCATTGGCGTTTTGAATTTTTGATTCATTAAACAAATTTAGATGTGTGCATATCTATAATCTTCTTTTACTGGCTAGCATGCTTTAAAGAGATTTGGAGGGGGGGGGGCTTATGAACATTCTCTAGCTCCCAGACAAGCTTTTCAACTCAACCCAGATAGCTAAGAAACATTACAAGTGCTTGTATACACTTGCATACTTCACACTGGTTTGTCCTCAGCTGATAAAAGCCAGCTGTGCCTGCCTCAGGACCACAGCCAGCCAAATAACAACTCTCCATGCCCCTGCCCCCTGCTTAATTAGGCTTACAGTGGTTTTGAATGCTAACCTTCCATCCTTCCTTAGGCACTGTGTTTTGCAGATGACCCATTAATCCTAGTCTCAGCCCTCTCATGCCTCAGTCCTCCACCAGGAGGCTGAGAGGGATATCCACCCAATGCCTAAGCCAAAACCTACCTACATCTGGAATCAATGAAGTTGTGGTCAATTTTAGAACCCCAGAATGTTGCCTTGTCCGGTTTGTTCACCTTCCTCTGGTTAGGCTTTGCTCCCTGGGGTGGTGTCAGGGACTAGGCTGATGGGAAGGAGTGGTGGAGACTGCCACCCCAAGAACTTTCTAGTTAGGGGGTGGATGAAGGGAGAATGGACCCAGGTTCGTGGTGGTGGCAGATAGGACACACCCCAGAAGATGAAAAGAGCTGGGAAATAATGGGTAGTGAAGAACAAGAATGAGATAGCAGGTACACTAGCCATGAACAGAGACAGGAATCAGTTGCATTTGAAACAGTATTGCAGCCAGTTAACACAATGTCCCTAGAGAGTCTGATAGACCCTCCTCCTTCTCCTAGAACCAGGTATTTTATCCATGTCACAGAGCACAAAGCCAAACAGAGACAGAAGGATTCCATAAGCAGTCACTGTAGACAGCCTGGGTGGGGTTCTGAAAGCTAGGAAGTTAGATGCCAGAGGGAGGAGTGAGCACTCTGGGCAACAGCGCAATCTCTGAGGGAGTACATGCTGGGGTCGCTGTGTATTTCTGCTGAGGGGAAACAGTGATCTGACCACAACAAGGAGCTGATGTCAATATTCCTCACTTTCAGAACACTCCATTCCTGCCCCATTGAGAAAACAAGGTCCATAGTGTGGCCTGCCACATGTGTTGTGGCATGTTGGGACAGCCCCATGGGACAGCCATGGAGTCCTGAGCCACCCAGAGCCAATCACCTTGCCATGGATGTCCGGGTCCCCCAAAACCAAATATAGCGATACCTCGGTTTTCAAACGTAATCTGTTCCAGAAGCCTGTTGGAGTTCCAAAACCGAAAACTCAGTACAGAAGCCTCAGTATGGAACACTTGATACAGAAGCCGCATGGCATGTTCAACTTCCGAGGCAAGTTCAAAAACTGAAGCATTTACTTCCGGGTTTACAGCATTTGAAAACCGAAATGTTCGTCAACGGAGACATTCGAAAACCAAGGTACCACTGTAGTGAATTTTGAAATTTTATGTGGAGGATTTTTTGAACTGCACATAGTTATCTTGATTTGTTATCTTGGTTTTTATGATGCCATTCTGAAAATAATCTCTGACTCCACTTTGCTTGCATCTATCTATCTATCATCTATCTATCTACCTATCATCTATCGTGCTTGTGAAGACTAATTAACATTGTAAATTAAGTCTTAGATGCAGCTTCACATGTGTGAAATTTCCCTACCTTGAGTTGAGGCTGATCGATTCCTCCAAAGCTGGTGCCAACATCCTGTCAGTCAGATACTTAACTAGATTGTCAAAGGCCAGGAAATCAGTTGCCTTTTATCCCCACCTGGAAAAAAAGAGAGAGGTGTCAGTCACTTTTTATGGCCTCCCAAGCATAATAAGTCACTCGTTGTGTTATCTCTGACTGTCACATTAAAGAGTTCATTGAACTCTCTTGCGAAGAACTGGTGCATATAGTATTCCGCTATGTGAGTTACTCCTGAATTATTAATACATAGCTATCTATAGAAGTGAATTAAACCATTTATCCCTTTTATTTTATTTAACTATAAATGTCAAGAAAATTGCAATTGTAAAGCTAAATTATGTTCAAACATAACTTAATTAACTTAATTACGTTTCATTTAAGGCATCACACAACTGAACAGTATTCCTGAACTGAGTACAAAATGTAAAACCCTGGGATATTTCTTTATTATACTGAATTAGAAAGCATATGCGCTACAGACAGAAAGCTTAAAAGCAGCATTTGTATTACTATTTGCAAAAATATATTAGTTGAAAGCTGGATAAATGTTTTAATCACTGATTTTTGCAACCGTCTGGTTATAATTACACACAAAAAAAGCATCACAGAGGGTATTTCTTTAATAGACTTTTTGTGATCATACATTAGCCTTAAACATGTTTTTACAACTCGTTATAAATAAAATATTAAGCAATCAGGCATAAAACTTGTTGAGAGTTTCTCTTCTGCTTATTTCACTGATGTCTCAAAAGCTGTATTTGCCTCAAAACAACCTGCTATTGTCTAGGGTGCTTCCCAGCCGAGGGAATGCACATGGCAGATACTTAACTCTTTATTGTCAAATATATCACAATCGCTTCTACAGGTCTGAATACAGTCGTACCTTGGTTCTCAAACGCCTTGGTACTCGGATGTTTTGGTTCCCGAACGCCGAAAACCTGGAAGTAAGTGTTCCGGTTTTGGAACATTTTTTGGAAGCCGAACGTCCGATGCGGAACAAGTTCAAGAACCAAGGTATGACTATACCTACGCACACTAATCTAGTCTCTAGACAGCTGTTCCCAGGTCCCCGCTCTATGGAGCAGTTGCAGCAACAGGGGACAACTCCCCCTCCATCAGTTTATGTACCTTCCTCCAGCGGGATGCAAACATACAGCCAGAGCCTACACCTGTCTGGAATCTTCCTCTTGCATCATCCCTTTCATCCCCCTCCTGTTTCTGGGAGACTGTTATGTATGAGTTGAATTTAGGATCCAAAATGCAACAGTCCCTGATTGGTCCTAGAACAATATGCATTCAGAATGCAGCAGTCTTGATTGGGTCTGCAGGAGCCACCCCAATCCAGCTCCAGATGGAAGTGAAGTCCACAACCTGGATTGTTCATGCCTTTTATTCAGCCTCATAGTGGTAGAGGAGGAATTGAATGTTTTCCCCCAAAGTATCTGCTTTATAGTACTATTATTTACACAATGGGCCTGCTCCGTGGATTGGCCTAATTCCGGAGATTCTCCTGTTAGGCCCAATCAGGTTGTGGATTCACTTCCATCTGGAAGCTGAATTGGGTGGCTCCTGCAGACCAATCATATTGCTGCATTGTTTCTAGGACCAATCAGACTGCTGCATTTTGGATCCATTATTCAAATACGGTCTGCTCATGATGCGTAATTGCGTCTGCTGTAGGCCACCCCTCTGGTTGTGGATGTCACTTCATCTGGGCAGGATTGGATGGTCCTGGCGAGACAAGTTATTGCTGCATTGTTGGGAGGAAAATCAGACTCTGCCGCAGCCGGATACATAACAAAGACAGAAACAGGAGAGGATGGGGGAAGCATGTGGCCTTCACTTGCCTGACCTGCCTCTCTTGACCCATCCTTCGGCTCTGAAGCTTCCTCTGCCTCCATCTCTTGTCTCCTGGCTGGTGCAGTGGCCCACCAACCACTGCTCCCATCTCTCGAGTCAGACTCCAGCCCCTGCTTCCCCCAAACCAGTGCAAACTGGTCAGTGTTCTGCCAGTTCCTGACAGCTATATACAACCATATACAACCATTATTATGATCCATTGACAAGGAAACAAAGCAGAAAACGTTGAAATACAAAATCATAATCTCAGTAGAACCAATTATTAATTATTGACACTGACAAGCTAGGAACTAACCATCACAGCAGGCCTGGGAGATATGGCAACAATTTAGAAAATTGCCACCTGTTTGGTAATATATTTATATGTTCCATCGAGGAAGATACTCAAAAGGGTCTCTAAGGATCAACCAGGAAATGTTCTAATAAGAGGACAAATTATATGTTCTCTAACTCCTTGATAAAATATATAGTAGACGAACACATGATATACTACTGCAACCTCTTAACAGCTACAAGGACAGCATCTAACCTTGAAGAGGACTTTGGCAAATCTGCGATCTAAGATTTTAGAGGTAAAACATTAAAACAGGCAAACAAAGCTTCTCTTCTGCACTTGGGAAATGTAAGAAAATTTAGATATGGCATGCATTTGCTACCAAGCCAGGGTTAGTGGCCATGATTTTCATGGCATATTAGCTGATGCATGCCAGATATGGATATTTTATTCTCTGTATAACCATAGATTTGGTTTATATCAGGTATAACAACAACAACAACAACAACAACAACAACAACAACAACAACAACAACAACAACAACAACAACTTTTTATTATTTATACCCCACCCATCTGGCTAGGTTTCCCCAGCCACTCTGGGCGGCTTCCAACAAATTATTAAAATACAATAGTCCTTCAGATATGAAAATCTTCCCTAAACAGGGCTGCCATTAGATGTCTCCTAAAAGTCTGATAGTTGATTTTTCCTTTGACATCTGGTGGGAGGGTGTTCCACAGATGCCACCACGAGAAGGCCCTCTGCCTGGTTCCCTGTAACCTCGCTTCTCAGAAGGCCCTTGGTGCTGGATCTCAGTGTCTGGGCTAAACAATGGGGGTGGAGATGCTCCTTCAGGTATATACAATGACAGCAGATATGAAGACCACTCTGCAATGCACTCTCCCCACAATTACACACTTTTTTATGTAAATGCAAAAGTGTCAAGCCACACCTTAACACCTGCCTGCTTCTGCTTCTGCTTGTACTAACCCAGCTGCCAGCTCAAGTTAATGAACTCGGGAAGCTGAGCTAAAATTTATAGATTCGGAATGGACACTAGTAGACCAATCTGTCCCCAAGCATAAAAGGAAGGAGTATGTAATCATAAAAATTAAATACACATCCATTTATATTGACATATATGACAGACCTTACCAAGATATTGCTGTGGTTTAAATAAAAACTACTTAAGCACCTCATCATCAGGTTCTCGGTTATCATAAAATATAACCAACTTATTGTGAAACTTCTTACAAATTCAAATGGAGGACTTTAGGAATTAGGAAGACAGAAAGAAAATGTCATGCACTGGAAAAGGATAAGGGTATTTAAAAGGTTCTTATTTTTAGCAGTTGGCATTCAGTATGTGTACAGCTTGCTAAGGGAATCATAGGTGGTAACAAGGTCAGATAAGCAGAATGGTCAGTGATATATGTCTAGTCACTGAAGCATAATAACGAATCATTGGTCAAAAAGTCCCTACAGATTTGACAAGGCTATGACCTTCCAAGTAGTATTTAACTACCTGGGAAAATGACACAGAGTTACGGTAGATGTCTGGAGTGGTGCTTGTCTTGAAGAATGAACTATACCTGAGATCTCTTTCTTCAAATGAATGCTAATATGCCTATATTTCTGAGGTTAGAAAGATGTGGAAATATAGAACAACCAGGAGCTGCAACAAATTTGCTAATTATTACTGTCTTGAATAATGTCATATAAACAGATTCGAACAATGCACACAGACCTCAAAGGACTCAGTATCCTGATTCATGTTGAGATCAAAATTTACATTGGCATGACAATTCCCATTGTCAAGATAGCCACATGAAAATAACTTTTATTTTTTAAAAAAAAACAACAACCAGAAGCTTTTGTCTTATGAATAATTGGTTCAAAGGTACCTAAAGAGGAGAAAAAACTATTTACGTATCCTACCATGGGTGCTCGAATTATATATGTCCAGAGATGGAAAGAAGAAACAGTTCCAATGAAGGAAGGTTAGCAACAAAAACCAATGGATTATGCAGAAATGGCAAAACTTTCCAGAAGATTAAGAAACCAAGGAGAGGGATGTCTTAATACCTAATGGGGAAAAATTATAGATTATAAATAAGAATTAGTGTCAACAGCTTAAATCATTAGCAGGACTGACATAAAAATGTGCAGTGGGAATAACCTAAGAAGAATATAAAGGATAACTAGTAAATAGATTTGAAATAGATATTCAGTGGTAAAAGATATAATATAAGTAATTGCAGAAAGTGGGGAGGTGTGGATATTAAGATTTGGAGGTTTGGATTACTTACCGGTATGTAAATTTATTTTTGTTATAATAGAGCCACATGACCTTCTCGTATGAAAAGGTATTGTGGGATACAGACCTGTCAACATGCAAGAGTCCTAGGTTTGCTCATGAATAATTGTCTTAGAAAAGCAAAAGGAAATGTTGGGGAAACTCTATTTGTTGCACATTTGAATGAAAGTTTAAAAATAAAAATGTGAGAGCAAAATATTACTTATTGCAATTCTAGCAAGAAGCTTATATAAAATTGTTGCAAGCCAAAACTTTAACAGGCATAATTTCATGAAAATATTTCAGTGAGTATTAATTCAAAAAATGGAGAAGGGGAGGTATGGGTTAAATCCAATATTAGTCATACTCAGAGTAGATCCATGGAAATTAATATGCATGACTAATTTATGTTCATTAATTGCAATGAGTCTACTCTGAGTAGAACTTAGTTTGATACAGACCATTACATGCATTTTTCAGCACTGCCTTATTACGTTAGATTTAATGATTAAAAGGAAAAGAAAGCTTAAATGCTGACTTTACACTGCACATCATCCCCTATTTAATAATAAAGATTGGTAGCAATTCAAGTAAAATGTTTCCCTTGAGCTCATTTGCCTTTAATCCATTTAGCAAAACTTATAAAA